TCTTTCCCAATCTGCAGGTGGATTCAATTTATTCTGACTTCTGTAAAGCCTTCGATCGTGTGAACCATTCATTATTATTATACAAATTTAATCTTTTAGGTTTTCCTGATCCTTTGATTTCATAGCTAAAAAACTATTTAACTGGTAGGATGCAGATAGTGAAGATTGACAGCAGTACTTCAGACCACATTGTGGTGCCTTCTGGAGTCCCAAAGGGCTCTCACTTAGGGCCCTTGTTTTTATTATTCATCAATAATGGCATTGGTAGTATTTTCAAATATGCCAAGTTTCTATTTTTTGCAGATGACTTAAAACTTTACATGGCTATTCGTAATATAATTGATTGTCTTCTTCTTCAAATTGATGTACAAGCTCTTCATAACTGGTCTGCGAAGAATTGTATGTCTTTCAACATTTCTAAATGTTACATAATTACATTTGGTAGGGTGCAATAGTACAATACTCTACAGGTCATAAACCCAAATATAGAGCACAAATTTTCAGAATATAATTACATCACAGAATTGTTATATGAACATTAAGCACATAAAACGGAATTAATTAATTAAGAGAACATTTGTGCGAGATGTATTTATATAAAAAGTATTTGGTTGTCTGGAAGAAATCTGGGGAATGCAAATATTATACTTTCCTAATAACTTTGGGCAGTCAATAATACTTTAAATAATTTTATAATCACACCTTCTTTCGAAACTGAAAAAAAAATATGTTTTTGTAGTAATTCAGAGTGAAGTGTACCCAGAGATAACCAGGAGATGTAACTACTAACAAATATCGTGCGGCCGTGAATAAGACATATTCTAAGGGACACAGTAGGGTATAATATCCGCTGTTGTCATTATTAGTAAAGTGTGTGTATTAAAATATTCGCTCAAGAAAACGATTTACCTCCCACTCTTTTGTCACAAGCTGAATTTTTCACAGATGAAAGGTCATGATAAGGTAACCCTTATTCCGGAGGTAAGGGCTAATGTAAATGATTTTTTTTAAATAATGATAAAAAAATACTTCCTACAAAGACCTAATTGAGGATTAGAACAAAAAAATAAGCATTTTTTTTTCTATACGGTGGTATCAATAACTCGATTTTTTATGATAATGCCCTTTTGCACAGTCTAATTTTATATTACCTCCGGAATAAGGGTTAGCTTATCATGTACTTTCTTCCCTGAAAAACTCAGCTTGTGAAACCGAAGTGGGAGGCAAAGTTAAAATAAGTTTTAATCTACACCATACCATTTCATTATTCTCGTTTTGTTTACAAAATTATTTACATATATTTAAAACGCTAAAATAATTCAACCTACTTTATTGCAACTGAACCCAAAAATTTTTGAATAGTAGTTATATTAAATTTAACTAAATTATATGTAATTTCACTAAATTAGATGTAATAATTTTCAACAAATTCCAAAACCTAGTGATTTTAGATTGGAAGTGGCAACAGGGCTTACACCGGCATGGAAATTTACGTTATGTAGTATAAGCTCGCGCAGTTATTCATTGATAAAACTACGTAAAATCCTTCTCTCTATCCCTTCTCTTACTTCTCACCTTTCGTCGCCTCGCCCCGCGTCTAGAAATAGAAGGTATACATTGCGAACCATTGTTGGCACCGTGAATATTATATTTTATCAATGACTGCTTATATCTCTGTTATCTCTGAGTGTACCTATTGGACGACAAATGCCATCAGTTTTTAATCTTAGCAGTTTTAAAAATCGTCTTTGAATTCGATTATTCTATTTGCGATACAATCCTCAATAGAATAACTAAATAAAAGTGCTTGTCGATGAGAATCTGACATTTAATCTACATATTCGTATTAATTAGATCACTGGTAAAGCTTTAAAAAGTCTTGGATTTATTCTGAGACACTCTAGATAAATTCAGTCAAAGCAGTATCATGTCAGATCTCTGCTTGAATATGGGTTGCTTAGCTGGACACCTTTTTACAATGTCCATATTTCATCTACTGAAGCTGTTTAGAATAAGTCTTTAAGATACTGTGGATACAAATTGGGAATAGGACATGGGGAATATGAGTATGATGATATACAGGGATTATTAAATTTAGAATCGCTGGAATTTCAAAGATTAACTGTTGACCTTGTTGTATTATATAAATTGAGTTCAGGTTTAACTAATTTGAGCAATATGCTTCAACATATTCAGTTTTGTATTCATCAAAAGTGTACGAGAAACAAAGACTTGTTTATTGTGCCCTTTCAATAAAAAATTATGGATAGTTTAGTCTTTTGACAAGAATGGTCATAAATGAGTTAGATATCAATTTTTCTGTCAATCTATATTTTTTTAAAAGAACAAATAGATTTCAATAGGTTTGTATTATTGTAGTATGTAAATATTTGTATTATTATAGTAAGTAAATATTTGTCTAGACACTAAATTTTTTTTAATAATGGGGTTTTCCAGTATAATAAATAAATAAATCAAGTTCTCTTTACTTCACTCACCTCTAAATATAATTTATGTATCCGATTAACATAGTGTATATGATATGAACATTAAACTGCTAGAACAAAGCTCTAGTTTAATATGTACTTAGTACTTACGTTATTTATTTGTGTACTGCTATTTTGCAAGAGTCCTATGGAAATTTTGTAGAAATCGTAATGGTCGTTCCCATAACAGGTCATCTTCTTAATCATTTAATTTTCCCTTTTCTAGATTATAACTAAGAACATTATCAAAACTCGAAGCAAGCCTAAAAAAGTAAAGGTAAGATATAAGAATTTGGCTACAGAAACTACAAGATTAGCTAAAGTTGTTACAAACATATGAAACTAATACTTTAAACAATGCTAATACTATATTTTTTGCAAGAAATACCTGCATTTACCAGCAGAAATGGAAAAATTTTAAATTCAAATGAGAGAAAAATCTGCTTCTATATCATTAAAATTGTCTAGTAAATTGATATAATCAGGCAGCCAATATATACAAACTAACATCTTTTAGTAATCAATTACCTAAAAGTTTGAAAAATTTGTATTTAGTTCACCTTTACTGTTGTTGTTTGGCAATTTTCGAATTTTTAACTATTTTTTGCAGACATATTTGTTATCTTTGAAACCTCTTTTATGTTTTAGTACCTTTACAATACAAATAGGACATTCCATTTTGGTATCAAGAAAGACAAGATGCATAGAGATTGAAAAAACTGCTAATTTTGCAAATGTGACCTTTCTTGATAGGACGGCAGTTTAAACTTTAAATTTGCTTTCCTACACATCTTGGTAATTGTAAATTAAGGGTTAAATGCAGACTGTTTTCTCAAAGCATTATAAATACCAATTAAATTAAAGAAATCTTAAAATAAATTGGCATTTATTATAAATCTTCAAAATTATACCAAGATATTATAAATCTGTCATTATTATTAAGTACTTTACAATATAAGACTTTTAATACTATGTTAACTCTTTCCTTACAATCTCAGAACAGCATAGAAACACAACAGTATTGATTAGCGATAAATAGAATAAAAGGTAGGTGGACCACAATATACATGTAAATATCCTATGCCTATAATCCAAAGGACATGGTAAAAACATTGCTCTCTTTATTTCAAATTTATGTATCAGGATTTCTAGTACATGAACATAGCTTTATCTTAATAGGTACTTAGTACTTACATTATGTATTTGTGTACTTCTATTTTGCAAGTATCATATGGCGATTTTGTAGAATTCGTGACGGTCGTTTCCACAACAGATTATCTTCTTAATCTTTTAATTTCATTTTTCCCTATTCTAGATCAAGTTTTATGACAACTTAAGGCCATTATCAAGTCCCAATATAGACCTGAAAAAGTAAAATATGTGAATTTTGCTACAGAAACTACGAAATTTCGTTTATTTATAAAAGTAAAAAATAAAATTGATCCTCTATTTAGCCCCCAACAATTTTTTTGCAAGTTTTTGAATTTTGATTAGCATAAATCGTTTGTTTGTTGTTTGTTCTTAATTGTTCGTAAATAATAATTATTTGTTCTCATTTTGTTTATGTATAATACAAAATAAATAAATAAAATTTATTAACTATTTAGCCCCCTATTTTCAAATTATAATTTTTTAATTACTATTAATCCTTAGCTATTTATTAACATTTTTTAAATTATAAATTACGTTGGTTAAATTTTTTTAAGAATGTGATTTTTTTCATACACCGTTGTAAAGAGGCTTTCAAGACCTTACAAATGATGTATCACTCAACCCTTCTTCCCTATTCCATTTTGAGAGATTGAAGCGCCCCCTCATAGGGGGTTGCTGGTTCAAGCCTCAAATATACGTCAAAAGATGTCCCCCAAAGAAAATCATCCGACGTGTTTCGGGAAATTTTTCCAATTACTATGGGATAAGAAATATACGGGGTGGCTCGTCTGAGATGGAACATACTGTATAGTTGTGATCCGACATAATTAAACACTGGTCCATAAATACTGCAAAACGATTGGTTAAGGAAATCATTCATGGTGGATCAGACAATAACAAAGTGAAATAGAAAATGGTCGTTATAAATACTCCCGAGTGAGATGAAAAATAACCTGTCTTCGCCCATAGAGTCGCATCTCAAGCCTATTGACAAGCATTCTACCCCACTCCAGTTCATTGGATATAGCCCAAGAAATAATACGTGTAAACTGATTAATCATGGATTAGAATATTGACGTTTGACATTTTTGACACATTCCTACAGATACCCGTTGATCTCCACCGGCCAACTCGGGGAAGAGTGAGCGCGCTCTGAGTACGTGATCTGTGGCAAGCCGAACACAAAAGGGTAAGCTCTGAGTGCCAAAACGACCACAATTGAGGCATACCGAGTGCACTCTGAGTACAGCGAATGCCAAACCGAACTCAGCCTAAGAGGTAGCGTCGTTACACTCAGGTTTATGTGGCGATCCTTGTGTATCTAAATGTAAAATAAATAAAATAATATACCTAAAGTAATGCCTCTTTGCCAATTTTCATAACGTTTTACAAATGTGATATTTTAAAAAAAATATTTCAACTATATTTTTCCACAGTAACATTTTATTTAAGAATATTTATTTGGGTCCAAATAATCTGGACTTACTCTATGTCCCAACAGTTACGACTCACAATTTACTAATAATTGAATTAATTTAAGGTATCCTTTAAAGTTATAATGATTGGTTGGAAGTTTGAAAAAAATAAATAACAACACAAAATAACTTATTATATTAATATGAATGATAACAATAACAAATTAAAAAATGTTATCTTAAACTATATAATAGGTACCAGTAGAACTATACAAAACTTTAAAACATAACACTGTTTTAATTATAGGAATAACAAACCATTTTAAATAAATAAATGAAATATTCAAATGTACCGACAGATTCGGAAGAAAAGTTTCTGAGTGATGATCTACGTGGCGCATAATCGAGTAAAGAAATATACCACTCTAGAATGGTACACTATAGTGATAAAATAAAAAATGTAAATTGTCTTTATAATGCACACATTTTTTGTCGACATAATGTTTGAGTAAAGTTTGCGGATAATCACCAGAGAAGAAAATTTGTGTTTTGTTTCATAAATTTGCATTGGATGTTAACAATTCTAAAGTGGTAAAGTCAAATACTGGACCTCGTAGCACTCAGTAATTAAAATTTATTGCTAATTTGTTCCAAATCCTTTTAAGAACAAAAAATACAAATTTGTGTTCGAGACATATTTTTGATCAAATTATTTGTTAGGTTTAAAAGATTAAATTAAAATAAGTTGCACAGTTTTTTAATTATTCAATATTTTTCAACTAATGATAAAATAACGAATTGGCAGTTTATCGTTAGTTGGAAAACAATTTAAACAAATTTTATTTTTATAATGGTTATAAAATGAGAACTGCACAAGCGATGAAAAAAATATACTAAAAATGCGTTATACTTTCATCTACACTCGCAAACACGTACGTACGTAAATCTACCTTCAGAGGGTAAAAAAATAACTCGCTACTTTTGAAGGCCACAGTTTTATTTACAACAGAATTATTCTAATTTTTTGAGAAAATATATTTTTCTTACACAAGTTAAAAGTAGTTATGAATGTAAGACTTTTTAATTTTATAATGAGTTTTAAAAACTCTTTGAATATACAGTCGTGCTAAGCATAAAAGTGGTAATCGCCAAAAAGTTTTGTGACGAGAAATCTATCTCATTTTAATACTTTTTGGGTATCTTTTTAATAACTAAAGATGCAATTATTACAATCAAAATTTATACACTTCATTTTATTTAATAAAATATTCAAAGTTCCTTATTTCTGAGTATATAAAAAACGTCTTTGATCTATTTCTGTCAAATAACAATGATTTAAAATAAAAGCAGCAATAAAATAAATAAGATTTGGAGTTATTTATACAGGGTAGTCAAAACCACATAGTTATTAAATACTTAAAAATTAAATTACAGCAAATTTCACCAATAAAAACCAATTTGTATAACCTTGTTTTAATTATAAACTTAAAAAATAACCAAAAATAGACAAAGATCAAGAACCAGCCTTTTATTACAAATATAACTCAATAATTATTCTGTTACACCGTAAATATCACCCTATATCAGTAACACAAAAGTGAAGTATACTTGAGAAATGACAAAAATCAAAACGATAATCTCCATATAACCACAACCAATTTATAGTACCAATGATTTTTTGCTATACTGTTAAACTTTATATTCAAGACCAAAATTGTTTTAAGTCTAAAAGGCAATTGCAGTGTCTTATAAAAATCAATATGTTGCATTTTAGAATTGAAGGGATTATTGTAAAAACGTAAAAAATATAAAATAAAGGCATTTTTACTTCGCGACAATAAAAAAAACCATAAACCAAATGAAAATTCTCCAACAAATACCATCTTTATCCGAAAAATCAAGTTATTGCATTTCAACAAAGTTATAGTAATTAACCTTTGAAGACGTGTTTCCTCAATAAATTAATGTTGTGGCTTGTCAAGTTATTCCAATAGCTTATTGGAATAACATGAGAATTAGCCCTTCAATTAAAATGATAGTATATTAACATGGTGTTAAATTTCAAAATAAAAGTTCATCGTTTTAATTATTTCACACAAATAATATTTTAAAGTTCTGAAATAATTAAAATAAAAATAGAAAGCTAATTTTAGCTGCTCATTTCTGATCAAAAAACAACAATATCCATCGGTGTTTGTAAATATATTAGTATTAATTAGTAAGGAACAAATTCTTTAAAAAAGAAAACAAAACTGTCATGTATGTAAGGAAATGAACAAAGTACATGTGGCAGTCAAAATTTTATCAATTTAATTTTATTGTTTGAATGGTATGTTTAAAGAAATGTTTATCATTTCGCGGTGTAACATGCCGAAAAAACGTTTTTATAAATTAAAACACTCGTCGGTTTGTAAGGATTGTAGCAAATTGATTTTAAATGTGCCCACTCAAATATAGAACGAAAATTCATGCAAAATTTCCTCAAAAAACTGTCTAAAAACTCATAAAGAGAGCAACTCCCAACTTTAAAAATAGTGCAGCAAACATTCTGTTAATACAATAAATTACAAAAAGAGCAACTAAAAATCGCTGGATCAATTAATTTCAGCAAAAATCATGGAAACTGCCTTAAACAAAATTACAGATCTTTGTTAACATTTGGAAACAATGGCTGGCCCTTCATGACCATTGGTGTGTTGATAGAGTTGTCATTGTCTTGTCGATGTGCTTCTCCAGCTACTACTCCATCTTGTCCGTCCAATGAGTCATCAAACAGTTCGTTGAAATCAATGAGATTGTTTCCATATGTTGTCAATTCAGTTCCGGATACCATTGGGTCAGCTGAGGAAGAAAATACAAAATTTGTTTATTACCTCTAAATTATAAGAAAAAAATAAAAATTTTAAACTAAATTAACATGAATGTTGGGTTTATTTATTGTTAAAATTTGTATACCATAGTAACTATAAAAATAGTGTTGCTGTATTATGTACCTTATATTTTTAATAAAAAGTCATTCTACAATTTTATATATAAAATATATTTCATCAATTTATACATAAAATATATTTTATGTATAATATTTAAGAAAAGATCTCTATCTTTACATATAAGATTAGACTACGTTCCGCGAAAACAGAAGCCAGCTGAAGTTGCAACAATGACAGTCGCATAAATGAAATTATGTCTTGTTTACCTATGTCACTTAGTAACGACAGTTATTTTATACAAAAAAAAAACTACGGGTCTTGCTATATTTGCAAGACAAGCTTATGTAGTGTTACATTTCTTTAATTTGTAAAATATTTATCCTGATCAGGTTTTATTAACATACGCAATAACCTTTATTTTCCTTGAGAAAAAAATTAGAATTTTGATAAAATACAGATATTTATTACTATTTATACATCATTTTATTGAAATGTGTTCTTATTTGTGTTTAGCCATAATTTAATTTTAAACGGGACGTTGTATCGGTTTACTAGTAGAATGAGCTTCGAATGTTATGTTATGTTGGGAATGGGGTGTTAATACACTGCGACCTAAAAGATCTATTGTGTCCCCTTCTGTCGCTAATGCACCAAGGAAATGTCTCAATGCCTATAACGACCCTTCCAATCCTATCTTCTCAAGGAAGTGTAGGATTCGGAGTGGCTTCAAGTTAGGTAAATCTCCCTCTTCTATTTGATATCCTCCTAGGTATAGTGCCCTTGGATTCTGGAGTGCTACACATTCAGTTAGAATGTGAATGGAGGTTTTGTTCTCCTCCTTACAGAATCTGCACTCACTATCCTCTACTACTCTCAGTTTACTAAGGTGTCCTTTCAGTCGGCAATGCCTGCTAAGGATCCCTGTTACAATACGTAGCCTGTTCTTGCTCAGGCAGATGCAGGCTTCCGATCTTTTCTGGTTATATTCACCCAGAAGTATCTTAGCCTGTCTCAGCCCCAAGAGATTATTCCAATTATCGGTTATTCTACTGCCCAATTCTTTTTTAATCTCTCCTAATATTATGTTATTGCTGATACCGCAGAACGGCTAAAGTCCTACAAAGGGTGTTTGAGTACCTTTACTTGCAAAACTATCTACAATCTCGTTACCCTGTACCCCGTTATGTACCGGGACCCAAGTGAGAGTAACTCTATTTTTCTCTCCTAGCTCATTCAATTGTTCTAGGTATCTCCATACCATTTTTGAGCTGATTACGTAAGAGCTCATCACTTTGATGGCTGCTTGGCTACCGACATGATGATAGTTTCTCTCGATGTTAAACTGGACACACTTCTCGATGGCGTGAATTTTCGCCTGGAAAATGCTCGAGTATTTTCCCAAGCTTTCAGAGTGCTTGGTTCTCGGTCCATACATTCCTATTCCTTCTATGGTTTTGGAACCGTCCGAGCTTCGAATGTCATAACTGAAGTGTGAGGAAGTTATATTAAAAAAATTGTTGGTTAGTTGGAATACAGTAAGGGAGCGTTAAGCTAACTTGTTTAGGGACTAGGAGTATTTCCACAACCATTCAATGTATATATTGCTGATTTTTTAATATTTATATTTTTAAATTGCTATTAAAACAGGAGGATTAACTTCCTTTAGATCTTCTCGAAAAAAGAGACCGAGGAAAAAAGGTCTTAGTTTGATGATAGAAATAAAATAGTTATTTTTGTATTAGGTCAGATTTTTTTATATTATACCATTGACAGATACTAAAATTATTCACAAGAAACGTCTCTCAGTTCACTTTTAATCGAAACGTTTTTTAGGCTCGAATGATTTTTAATAAATTTTATAGAATATTTTTTATTAAGGAATATATATTTTTCTAGGTATTTTTCACAAAGTACGAACTGTTCCACCTGAATTTACTGGAAGTAAAACTTTATGACAGCTGCTAAAAAGTATGGGGTTTAGGCAAGTAATTTATGAAGATGAAGATACAAGTATACTTTTAGTAGCTTTTTAAGAAAATAATAATAATCATTAGGACTAGAATAGACATTAAAAATAATAAGTAACATGCATAAGTATTTAATTAAAAATAATGTCTATTGTAGATGGCAGCACACACAAGATAACAGAAAGACGATTATGAAATCCTATGATATTCGCCTTAAAAGAATTACTTTTATAGAAAATGTTATTAAATATAGAACTGAAAGCTAGAATATTATATATACTGATCTGATCTACAGTTCACATGTGCAATCTAAGGAATGGTATTGTCATGATATCCCTAATCCGACCCTGTGCCTGTGTACGCACGCAGCCTTCACATGGCAACCAATTCGTGATCGAAGCAACGCTGACGTGTGGAAACAGCCCGACCGCGTCTCGAATGTCTGCCGCTGATTCACTCGAAACATCTGGAATGGCGGGGAGTGCCGTTTAGTCATCTTCGCGAAGTCTCTAGCATTTTACAGTAGCGGAGTTAGACTAATATAAATAGCCGACGTATCAGCGCCGAGTTTAGTTTAATGTAGTGTAAGAAATAAATTAGAATTGTGTGTTGTTTTTGCAGTAACACAACGGGATATATTTATGTTTTGTGTTTTATTTATTAGAGGTCCTCACTAATTAATTTTAGATAGATGTCCTAAAAAAAAGGTCATCATTCAAAAATATTGCGGCTCGTGTAACATAGCACATACGAATGTGGCCGCATATACGAATGTGGCCCGAAGGAAAAAAAGGTTGAGCATGGCTGACCTAAAAGATTTACTGTCGATTTTATATTAAGATAAATAAAATGTACCTATTTAAAATAAATAAATAATAATGGTCGTATTTTTTCAAATTTCATTTTTCCAAAATTAAAAAAAAAAGATTGCTTCCATCGTGGGGAATTTAACCAGCGTCGCGATGTGGTCGAAACATGTAAAGTTATTAACGTTGAACGCTCTATGAACTGAGCTTATGTCACATGATTTGTCTAATCAAATATTTATATTGACAAAAAAAATGTCACTTTAGATTAAAAATAAATATCTAGAATCTAGTTATAAAAATCAATGTTTTTTAATCATTAAATCTATTTTACTATTAATATGGAGATTATCCAAAATTCCACTACCATTGGCGTCACAACTCTAAGACCGTTTTGAATAACTTATTGACGCTAACGATACAGAACGAAAACATGACATCGAAGGTCCTTAATAAATTGTCACTGAATTGCTTTTAGACATCTATGAAATAGTTGTTCCTAAAAATATCTAGCACCTACCTGAACCAGTGTCCAGTGGATTATCCTTATTGGTATCACTGTGGTTGTAGGGCAATCCAAATGATGGAGCCTCATCATTAAATAACTGAAAATTAAAATCATTTAGTATATTGTTAATAATATTTTGATGACTTACTCTTGGGATACTTACTCCAAGTAAGGCATTGGCATCCAGTCCGTTGCAACCCTTCAGAATGTCTTTTAATTGTTCGATCTCTGACTGAGTGGTCTCAAGGTGCAAATCTAGATCCTCCTTGTAACAGTCATTAGTACTAAAATCAACAAAATTGATTATGATAAAATACTATGCAGTGCTAGCAAGATCAAACCTACGGTCCTGCTTTGCTTGTGTTGGAGTAAATAGTAAATGTAGTTCGCATGTGCAGGAGAGAAAATGAAGAGGTATCGACGTTGCCAGTTACAGGTGAGTCGACATGTGATTGAAAACATCTATACTGTGTCTTTTCCTTTCCTGCATGTACGGGTGCTTTTTACTATTAACCTCAACACAAGCAAAGCAGAATTGTAGGTTTGATCTTACCAGGCTTGTATATTAGTGGTGTGTAATAGCCTATTTGATAAAAAAAACTACAAACATAAATGTGTTGTATTAGTTTTTAAGTAAGAAATTTCATTTTTAAAATAATTAGGAGTTACAGGATAATTTAAAGTAAAAATATGTCAAAAAAATAAAAAATTCCCACATAGTTTCGTTATTTTTAAACCACACTTTATTATATTACTGTTAATTATTATTTAACCTAAATTGCGTAATTCCAAAAGTCAGATTGCATTTAGACAGTAGTTTCCAATTAAAGCAGACATTAAATTTAAATTTACAATATTTACTACAGAAATTACATTACTACAAAAGTAAAATTATTATATTTGTAACATATTCAATTAAATTTCAATGGATCAAAATACTGAGACTGCATATACATTACTGTGAATTACATCTAAATGAAGATGGATTTATTACCACATGCGTTTACAATGTTTTTTTTATTAATCATTAAAGTTTAATTATAAAAAATCTTTTTTTATGAAAACAATTGTAATCATTTTATTGTTTGCTTCAAAAATTAGTATCACGGGCCTTATAAACTTATCAAACTGTATGTACATTTTTTATAATGATGGAGAACTGATAGAAAATATATTGAAAAAATAAAGAATCTTTGACAAAAAGAATTTTTAATATTAGGGAAATGCTAATTTTTTTAGATACTTGAAAACCATACATGCAATTACGTACCACTAATTATAAGTTCATAAGAAAATTCAAGTGTTTTCCCAAGTATACTATTAGATAAAAAAAGGTAGAATAAAAAATAAATTAGGGATGCAGTAGATAGTTATGTCATGATATAGCCACATTCGGTCGAATAGGTCAAATTATAGCCGAATATCAGTTTTCAAAGGGGCCAAACCCTCCAAACCAAAGACTGAATAGTGACCGGACAGTTGCCATCCAAATAGTGATTAAGATATTCTAAACATAACAACAATTCCTACCAGACAAGTAGGGAGTTATTCCAATAAACTGGAGTGGAGTAGAAAGCTAATGTGCATATTGTATCAATAGAACAATATGCGACCCTATGGGCACAGCCATTTTTATTGCTCATCTCACTCGGGAGTATTTATAATAACCATTTTCTGTTTCATATTGTTATTGTCCAGTCCACAAGCCGATGGATCAGACAATAACAATGTGAAATAGAAATTGGTTATTATAAATACTCCCGAGTAAGATGAAAAATAATCTGTCTTCGCCCATAGAGTCGCATTTCAAGCCTATTCTACCCCACTCCAGTTCAATGAGTTATTCTTGTGCAAAATGTTAGTTAATTTTAAGTCTTCAGTCTCAAAAAAGTTTAGTTTGGAAATTTTATCATGTAAATGATGAAAATCCAATGAAAGTTATAGTCTATACGAAGTCAATTTGAACAGCTAAACGAAAGACTCATGTACCGGGTCTCATAAATTTACCAGTTAATATCATATACAGCCACCCATATAAAATTGATGATTAGATCTCGTATGAATTTCTTATCTCTCACTCCTGTATGTCGGCAGTATCTAGTCGAACTAAACTTTGCAACAGAGGTGAAGTACCTAGGTCTCACCTTTGACAGCAAGTTAACATGGAACTCGCATTTAGAAAACAGTCAAAAAAGCATACGTTGCTTATGAACAATGCCGCCGAACCGTGGGGCTTCTCCCCCAGAGTCGTCGCATGGACTTACACAGCTATCATAAAACCTATGCTAACATAGGGTGCAGTTGTCTGAGTACCGAAAACCCAAAAATTAACAGCTATCCGTAAACTAGAACAAATTCAAAGAACAGCATGTCTCAACATAATAGGAGCCATGAAAATAACACCGACCAGATCCATGGAAGTCATTCTTAGTCTCACTCGTCTTGATATTTACTTCAAGGAGGATGCTCTGACGACAATGACACGCCTCTGCACGGTTGGAATAGTACCTGATTCAGGATCTGGTGAGGTGAGACGTCGCTTTTGGCAGAAGGCGCTCGATACGCTCCCACTGCTTCAAGCAAATATGGACTCCATCTCACCGAGTTATATCTTCCATAAGCCATATAAAGCTATGACAGAACAAATAGAAGAGCCGGAAGTGGCAGGTACGATTTATATCTACACCGACGGTTCTAAAACAAAACAAGGCTCCGGATGTGGAATATACTCCAGATTCTTAAACCTAAACCTAAAATGGGCTGTGAGCAATAGTGCCAGTGTAGTTCAAACAGACCTCGAATTGACTCAGGGTTAGTACTAGAATGTCACGAAGCTTTGGCCAAAGTATCCATCAACAATGTGGTCACCTTCAGATGGATCAAAGGTCACCTCACATCGAAAGGAAACCGTCTTGCTAATTCACTAGCCAACCAAATACTTTTTGGACCTAGTCCTTCTATTGGCCTGATAAAATCGGTAGTGACAGACCTAATTAAAGAACATTCCCTTGTGAAATTCAAGGAAAGATGGGATGAAACAAGAAACTGCAGTTTCCAGGGAGCTTTCAAGTTATCCTGACAACACTGCATAAAACAAATACTTGACTATGACTAGACAGAATCTGCACCTAGTCACAGACATTCTGACTGGTCATTGCCAAGTACGGAAGCATCTCCATATCATGGGGCTGTCAGAATCCGCACTCTGCAGAGGTTGCGAACAAGAAGATGAGACCATCGAGCATATCCTCTACGATTGCTCGACGCTCTCATTTATTAGGAGATTTGTGTTCGGCGAGTATCGGCTAATACCGGCCGATATGAGAGAAGCACCTCTTGGAGACATTGTCAACTACATTAAATCTGTAGGCTGGCTCACGAGCTAGGAGGTGCCTATCGTCTTAGGAGGATGCACAATGAGCCTAATGAGGCCTAAGTGATTTTTTATAAATTATTTACATAAATCCACTGAATAAATTTTTAATGTTATTCCTTCTGGTCGTATATTAATAACAATAATAATAAAATTGTATACATTTAAAACCAAACGGAACCGCTTACATCCTAATAGAGGCGAAGTATTCATTTTCTCACATCACAATTTAACTAGACAAATTTCTGCTTCAAGTAGGATTAGATTAGAATTCTTTAAACTTGTATTATTTCAATTGTTATTTGTTATTATGTTTTTTTATGGGATATCTGCTTTTATTTATTTTTTTTAATATTGTAGAGAATGTCCAGAATGATTTGTTTTACTTTACATAAATGTTATGATATAAATAAAGTTAGGCATATTTTGGCGAATATCCAGCTTACTGTTCAGATCGGAAACATAGTCAAAAATCGGGCCGATTATTGGCCAAATATCTGTAGCATCTCTAAAATAAATCTCTTTGGGAATTGGTAAAATAATGTGTCATCTATATTAATGTCTAATTCTGAATATTTAAGAATTATTACAGCATGCTCACCCATTGTTATTTCTTGTAGCAACCTGGAGATCGACGCCTCTAGTATTTTTAGGGCTAAGTTCCAATAAATTATTAATTGTACTCTCCGGTGACTTGCTATTAATTTTCTTTCCATTTTTGGTATTTATCACATTAGCATTGTAACTGCCATTCGCTATATTGCTTAGAAGTGTGTTTCCGCCCATCGGGTTTAAGAATACTTTTTCACCTTTTTGATTTGTAGACTGTAAATTATTTGACTCATTTTCTGCAGCTCGGCTCTCGTTCATTAAATCAGAAGGGTTGATTTCCTAAAAGAACTGCTGTTTCATTTGATACATAATGTTTTTTGAGTTCTTTTCTGCTTTCTTATTTATTAATGTCATGTACAGGTATTAATTAAAAAAATACTGATGAGAGCAACAAAATGTATATTCAAATAGTACAGAATGTTGATAAATATACACGTGTAATAGACATAAGTGCATTAATTTTAACTAGTAATAGAACTTTTCAAAAGAAACAACTTTTTCTATATATTTTTTTTTTTAATAAATAAGTTATAGAGAAAGTAAACAAAGGCAAGTGTGAAATAGAAGAATAATCTTACCACAAACAGACTTTCATGGAGTCCATCCTCATTATTTGCTTCATTAGATAAAATGGAGGAAGGTTTTAAAGAATCAGGTTGTGAATCTAAAGGAGATGATACAGAGGTATGTGGACTAGTTACCTAAAAAAATCATACAAATACTTTGAACCAAAACCATTTTTTAACGTGTAGTATTGGTATTAATGCACTTCAATAACAAATTTTTTTAATTTTAGAATTTTTGGTTTATTTAAAAAAATAGGTCTTTTGAACATACGTTTTAAATAATAAATTGTAAGTTTATAAATAAATAAAAAGGAACATAATTTCAAACTCAAATGTGACCAATAAGTAAAATAAAGAAAATTATTTTGTCACACATGACTTTGTATTTTTCTTCTTTATTTCAATACTGAAGTTCATATTAGGTAGCAATATTACAAGCAAATAAGTTTGGATTTTTTTAATTTAATAGTTATACTGTAAAAACAATCTTCTATTGTTTAAAATAATAATCCATATTTGACAACAATGAAAATATTTTTTTATAGATATTTTTGAACAAGCAAATTTGGATAATTACTAATTGGTTTTCTGTCAAATTTTTAGTAGACACTTTACATTTAAAAAGATCTGAAATTCCGATTCACTGTTTAACAGAAATATTTAAAGAATTTGATAATTTTATATTTCTATATAAACAAAATTTTTCTTTATTTAATCTTTAATCTACGCTTCATCCATTATGTATTTTGTATATAAAAAATGGTTGAATATCTAGAATTAATGAATCTCTAAAACAGATACGTTTAAAAGAAAGCTGATAAAAAATTAAAAGAATTAATTTAATTTTATATCTAATAGCTAGGGCAGAAATATCTACTGTAATCTGTTAAGAATTTAATAAATAATTACTGATTATTTATCTTTATGCCAGATTAAGCAGGCAATATATATTTTCCTATACTTTACGAATATGATTCTGTATCTCCGGGAAAAAATGATCAAAATTAATATACATGGTGCCTTCGAAAGGACTGAAAAATAGTAGAATTTTTTTATTTTCACCTTTTTGAAAAAATGTTATTATTCATAAAAGTCTTTGCTTGTTTCAATACTAATTATAATCTAAACAGAAGTTAAATATCTCTCTGCATTAGTGAAATAATGACAAAAATGTAAAAAAAAATCACGTACTCTTGTTGGAAACTTATAAAGTGATTGTTTTTTGAGATTTTCGCACTCAAAGGTGGATACTCTTTATTATAATTTATTTTGAAATTCTGATTTTTGTTATATTTCCAACAAGAGTACATTGTTTCAGAACAAAATGTATATTCATTTATCAGAAAAAATGTATGTATAAATAAAAATAAAGTCAAAGCCAGTGTCACATAATATTACGAGCGACAGTTTCTCTCAGGAAAACAACTACTCCTTTGGCTAATTATATCCAAAAGAAAACAGCAAATAAAGAAAATAATTTCAACATTAACTTTGCTTACCAAGGAGAACGTCATTCTTGGACTGGTTTCGTTATTTGTCAGCAAGAAATAGACATCTCGACTTCAATCTCTAATGAAATCTGCAAAGGCATCAAATTCATTCACCTATATTGATGAAGGTTGCTAGAGAATAAGTAGTTACACAGTGAAAATAGTAATGCCATCTGCACTTGGTAAGCAAAATCCAAGGTCGCTAGCAGTACCCAGCTCAGAAACTAGGTGGGATAAAAAGCAGGGTGGGCAATTTTTTAAATAATGATGACATCTTAGTCACATCTAAGTTGGAACTATTTTCTTAATAATCTATATATTACTTCAAATATGACATACCAATCCTTCTTCAACTACATCCTGATCAAACAGCTCTTCAGGTGAAATTTCAATTTCACTATCTAATTCATGTATTGTTGGACCATTATCACGTTGTTCATTACTATCAGATTTTGTACTTTTAGATTTTTTAGATTTTTTCGTAGGGCTTTCATGTAACATGAGAGGCATCCTCCTTTTAACACTAACTCCCATCCTAGATGATGGAGAAGGTTGAACCAACGTAACCAAAAATTGAATCAACTGCAAACATTTAATGTCACAATTTTGTTATAATTATTTATAATTAACATACTTTATTGACAATCTGTTGTTGCTTCAAATGTTTTTGTCTAAGAATAGCTAGTTCTCTCCATAATACTGCATTTTCTTGCTTCATAGAACTTAATTGTGAATCCACACTTGACTGCCTGCCATACAGATGTTTGACATCTGATAAGACTTTTGATAAATCATCAAATTTCAAAACATTTTGTGCATTATTTTCAGACTTAGCTACAGTTACCTTAAACAAATGTAATTAAATTTATGTTGTTAATTTAAGAATCATTATATTTATTACCTTTCGTTTGATATTACGAAGAAGTTCTGGACGGCCTTTTTGAAAATATTTGTGATAAAATTGTATTTCGTCTTTATCGGAATCCATAGTACCATTTTCAATGGTTGACATTTTATGGAATCCGTCTATAAAAAAATATATACCTATCTAACTAAACCACTCATTTAAATTCTTCAAATTCAAATTTGTAAATATAAAAAGACTAATACATAATATATAGAGACTTACACATATTAAGCTGTCTGACAAAGCTGCTCATATTATTGTGTTTGTAATATAAAGGCAACAATTCATACCAAAATTGGGCTTGATTTTGAATAATGAAACTATTACCAGCCTAAAACATAAAATATTTCAGAATGTTCTTCAAATAATGTTAATAAATAGGGACAATTTTACAAGTTTTATAGAAGCTCCATTGGTATCAGACTTGACTTTGTATATGATTGACCCAAGGACACTACCCTGAACAAATTAATATTTGATGTGCTTGACGTGATTCATTTGTAAAAAGAATTTGCGGAGATAGGATTAGCCAGAATTGCTTGGACATGACATATGCATTTTAGATTATATAGATTAGAGAAAAAGGTAAAAAAAAAACTTCATAACACGATATAAATTTGAATTTTAGGTAATCCTTTCTTACTTAGATGTAGCTACAATCTTAACACTCCATATTTTATTTATTTCTGAAAATAAAAGTTTTACTGCCAAAATATATCAAGAAATAAGTCAACAACAGAAGTGTTAATTATAAAGTAAATATTTAAAAATCATCAAATTTGTAAAATAATGTCTTCACATGTGGCCTTGTTTTCCTAACAAAATTTGAAAATCACTAGGCTTAAATGGTGTGTGTAACATCATTTTCAGGTAAATCGGCTATTTCAATGAAATATTTTTATAACATCTAAAAATATCAATTAGCACATCAGTAAAAATTGGAACGTTATAATGTCAATATTAATTCAAATATTTCAAATTAAGAAGGTCCAAAATTTTTATAAAGTTTTTCTCAAAACGGACACAATGCACATGTGGCTTTCTAGTTCAGGTGGGTATAAAATATTGCACCAGAACTGATATGCATTCAAACCAGAGCTAGATCAATAAAATAAATCCAAATCTATATAAAATACAATTTTTTTACTTAAAATTCCTATGTTTGCAAATAAATAATTTTACATACTTATTTAATCTAAAAGTTTATCAATCTATTATACAGGGTACACTACACTCAACGGGACAGAGCCTGGTGGGTAAACTACAAATAAAAACGCTACAAGTCAGTTTGGCTAAAATTTAAAATTATATACTGTGTCCCAAATCGCCAATATAAAGTTTTTTTTTTTAAATGGCACACTCTGTTTTTTCTTTTAATTTTAAGTTCAACTCTTAAAAATAATATTAGTTTAATAAAAATTTCCTATTCCTATATTTAATCATTTCTGATTTGACATTTTTTTAAAAATAGATTAATTACTCTTGATTACAAAATAATAAATTAACGAATTTTTGGCAGTTCATTACAAAATATAATTATTTATCAGAATCGTTAAAATATTTAAAAAATGTTTCTAATTTGAAGTTTTATTACAGTAAAATATTTTATTTAATTATGAGCTAATTGACAGATAAAAAAAAAATAGGAAAAATGTTCCTTGCCCTTCACTTAATGATTGCAATAGAAACATTGTTCCTGCTGCTTTTAATTGGCCATAAAACATTTAGTATTCGTACCAAGTTTGATATTTTACAATTATTGCTGAATTCTGGAGATTAAAGAAAAACAGATATTTTTATGTAACTTTGTTGACCTCTAGCGGCCAAACGTAGCAAGTTGGTGTTTAGATAAGTTTGGTTAAATCAACTTATTTTGAGCCCATAAATCTGTGGTAGTTCCATGTACATGTAGTTTCTGGATACCCTGTATATACAAATATTATATTTTAAAGTCAAGTTCTACTTATGATACAATCATTGGTACTAACATTTGTATTAGGCAGACAAAATGCACAGAATGGGAAATCTGGATTCAATAAGGTACTAATTATTTTTCCCTTCTTACTGCAATTATAGGTACGTTTATTTCTTTGATTTAATTTCCATTTTGCTACTGAACATTTATAAAATTTATATTTTTTTGCTAGGATTTTTACAATTTCCAACACAGCAACTCCGGTTGCTTATTGTATAGCTTTTAACAATGTTTTTAAAAATGAGTACGCCAAAATTACAAAAATATCACCCTAAAATGCATGAAGTATCTGCAGCTAGCGCTAGTATAACTTTTGCTTGCCCTACTATGACTTCACATTGAGCGAATAGCGGTAAAGTTGTTTATATGTTTATTTATTAATAATATAATCAATTGGGTATGGAAATAGTATGATTATCATATCATATATTTAGGTATTGAAAATTGCAGGTACAAAACAATGTAATCTATTTAATTAGACTGAATGTATACTCAATTATTAAATATTAATATAGGACTAACTAAAACTAGCGGATAGGTGGATCAGAGATTCAATTTTTCTAATAATCATATGATATTGTATAGGTGGGTAACTAGATATATTGTTTTGTTTTTTATGTTAAATTAAATTTAAACCACAAAATGTGGTTAATTTATCCTTATTATTAGACACCCTGTTTAGCCTTGAGGTGACTAACAGGTGCATTAAATAGCTTCTAATGGAAAAGTTTTCAGATTGAAATGCTAAATTTGGATTGTGCAAGTAATACTTACCGCACTCCAGCTAATTAGGTGAACCGTAATAGGATCGTTAACCATTTTCCACAATTTGCCTAAAAAGGCAGGAATATTTGACATATTTTCTCCAAGAGGTTGCATCTTGATATTTTACATAAATTTTTTCGTTGAACTATTTTTTCAACTACATAATCTTGAAATCAATCAAAAGTACTGCGTAATTGTCACTAATTGAAGACGTTTATCAAAAATGTTACTGGAATAAAATCAAAATAATCCACCATTAAAAATAAATAGACTTTTCTGACAGATTTACTTATCTTGCTCAATGCTATACAAGTATATAGATTGCTCATCCATATGAGAATCAGATGACGAAAAGCGGATTTCATTGAACTAAGTTTTCTCTTTATTTAATACATGCAATGTTGATGTTTTGTCTCAATTTTGAGTACCCAGTTATAAATCCCATAATCTATTTACAGAACCGGTTTAAAGATTCTAAATGTACATTTAAAAAAATGTACATTTTATAAATAGTAAATATAATTTTGTTGGGATGATCACTGCATATTAGTTGGATCTTGAAGAGATTGTATCTTATCAATATTGACATGATATATTTTTGATAGATAATATTTTATTCCATTCCGATATTATATATATTATATTAATAGGGCCGAGAGAATTTTTCATCATGGAAATTCGCAATGAAGGCAATGTTAGAATTCGATGATTTGTGGGATGCAATTGAAGGCGAGAAAGTTGATCCAGTGAAAAACCGAAAAGCTCTTGCTAAGATTTTTATTTGTATTCCCATTATATTCCAGTTAGTAATTAATTTGACCTTTAAGGTACCTAAAAACTCTTTTTACTGCTTGCCAGTGACTGGTTTTTGGGCTATTATTGAACCTACTGAGGGTATTGACACTGTAAGATATATCTGGTCTGGATATTTGACTCAAATATAGTAAACTTCCAACAGCTTCCTGATAAGGTGTGTTATTTAAGTCTTTATCGTCGGAATTGAACTTAAAGACCCACTTCCATTGGAGTACAAACTGGCCGAGAATCCTCCATGTTAAATTTCTTTAATATATTCTTTATATAATCCTATTGATCTATCCAAATTTTTTCTTCTTCTAAGTTTCTAGTAATTCTTATTCCAAGACAATTTTTTGCTTCTACCAGATCCTTCATTAAAAATGTATTCTTTAATTTACTCTTTAGATCTTCGACTATTTGGGAAGTGTTGTAGAATAACAAAAAATCATCAACATATATCACTATAATTAGAAGTTCAACATTTCCCATTTTAAAATAAATGCAAGGGTCTGCCTGAGATTGTATTAAATCTAAATTTTTTACTACATTATCTACTTCTTATTCCAACATCTTCCACTCTGCTTTAGGCCATATATTGATTTTTTTAACAAATAGTTCTATTTTTTAGTATGCATTGAAGAGGAGGTGTTGGGATGATCAATGCATACTAGTTGAATCTTGCAGAGATTGTATCTTGTCAATATTGACATGATTTATTTTTGATAGATAATATTTTATTCCATTTCGATATTATATATACAGGGTGTCCTTTAAAATGTGTCCCAAAATTCTCAGGCAGATTCCTTAACCAAAAAATGGAAAAAAAGTTCCTATAGACCTATGTCCTAAAGTGCCCCCTAAGCGAGCAACAGCCTCTCGAAATCATTTTTTTTATTTTGATTTTTTGAATTTTCTTAAAAATGGAAACAAATAAAAGAACCAAATTTTGGCTGTTAAATATGATCAATAATAGTGACCTTTTGACACCTTCAAAAAGAAATTATTTCGTCAGGGGTGTACTTGGGAATTTTTTGAAAATTTTGATTATTCATAACTTTTTTGTGTTTTTGGTAATGACTTATCCATATTTTTTTTTACATTCTACATTGAAAACTACGTCAAAAAGGAATACTTGTTTGATCTCGATTGGAGCAGCCGTTTCCGAGAAAACATCATCCAAAGATATTCGTGCAGTTTGGGTTAATTTTCAATTTTGGCTGTTGTAGCCAAAAAGTTGGAAATCGAGGAACACGGCTTACATGTCCCTATCCTTACTTTTGAAGGTCTATTCAGTGGCAAAAAATATTAGTTGATACAGGGTGATCAAAAATCGGATGTGATTTTGGATTTTTGATCACCCTGTATCAAATAATATGTATTTTATGTCACTAAATAGACCTTAAAAAGTTAGGATAGGGACTGTAAGTCGTTTTCCTCGATTTCCAACTGTTTGGCTACAACAGCCACCTGAATTTGAAAAAATGTGATTTTTGAGTAGCTGTAGATCCTTTACTATTCATATTAGATAACAAGTGTGATATATCATTGAAATCAGATTATCGAGCAGATTCTAAAAATATAAAAATATACAGGGTGTTCCATTTAAAAAACATAACTTTGATTTGGCACGGCCTTATGAAACACCCTGTCACATCGTAACTAATTTTAAAATGTGAAGCTTAAAGCTGCCTACTTTTATTATAACAGATCTACAGAGCTTCCTCACACTAATCAATCACCCTGTATACTATTTTTAGCTCTCTAAATAAAATTTAAAAATTTAGTTCCCATTTATTTATTATGAAGACCATAAGGTTTGTATTTAGCTGTTTAGAATAAAAAAGTAAAAATATGTATTTTTTTGGCGTTTTTGTGTTTCATGGATAATTTTTTTCGCTCACTGATAAAAATGTTTCTTCAGTTAAACATTATTTCTAAAAGTGTTCTGGTGCGATTCGTTGTATTGTTATTATTTTGTTTAAAATGGCTCACAATAACTACAATAATGATTACACATTCGGCGAAATGACGGACATGCACTTATGTTTTGGACTCGCTTCTGGAAATGCCAATGAAGCTCGCAGACTTTATCAGGAGCGCTTTCCAAATAGGCATCTTCCATGCGCTAAGACGTTTTCTAGAATTGACGATAGACTTCGGGAAACTGGTACATTTAAGAAAAACTCTAGTAACAGTGGAAGACAAAATTATGTGAGAACTCCTGCTTTGGAAGAAGCAATTTTGGATAGGGTAGCTGAAACCCCATCGACAAGTACCAGAAAAATAGCAAATGGTAAGTAATTACTTATTTATTATTTTAGCTACCCCGTACCTTATCGTATAAAACTAGTTTTTTTACTTGTTATTGCTTCTCTTACATTTCACGACTTTTCGTATCGAAAAGAGTTGCGTTATGCAGAAAAAATCTGATTTCCCAAATCAATGGATTCTCTTTCTTAACTATTCACTACACAGATTCTCTCATTTAATTTCAGAAGTGGGAGTCGGACGTAACACGGTATGGAAAGTTTTGCGTGAACAACAATTGTACCCTTACCACATTCAAAAAGTTCAGGCACTTAAAGCTACTGATTATGAGCCGCGAGTTATCTTTTCTGAATGGTTTCTTGGAAGATGTAATCAAGATGCAATGTTTCTTAATAAAGTGCTATTTACCGATGAAGCTGGTTTCACTAGAGATGGTGTAATAAATTTTCGAAATATGCATGAATGGGCTGAAGATAACCCTCACGCGGTTGTTGAACGTCACCACCAGGATAAATTTTCAATAAACGTCTGGGCTGGAGTTATTGATAATTACCTTATTGGACCATTTGTTTTGCCGAATAGGTTAAATGGAGCAGCATACAGGCTTTTTTTGGAAAATAACTTACATGAGCTTCTTGATAATATTCCGATTCAAATCAGACATAACTTGTGGTTTATGCATGACGGAGCTCCACCACATTACAGCCTTGAAGCTAGACAGCACCTTAACGAAAGATTTGAGGGTAGAGTAATTGGCAGAGGTTGTCCTGTTAACTGGCCACCTCGTTCACCAGATCTAAATCCAATGGATTTTTTTGTTTGGGGTTATTTAAAATCATTGGTTTATTCCAGTCCTGTTGAAACAGTTGAAGAATTGGAAGAACGAGTTTTTCATCATTGCGAAGTTCTTAGGAATAATCCTGAAGTATTTTTTCGTGTAAGACAGTCTATGATGCGACGGTTGCGCTTGTGTGTGGAAACCAATGGTCGCCACATTGAGCATCTGCTTTAATTTTTTTTGATTTGTTTTTTTAGAATAAATATTTTTTTAAACCGTTTCTTATTATTAAATAAAAATAGTCCCACCACGACATTTGAACTACAATTATTTAGAGATAGCTAAAAAAGTTATTTTTATTTACGAGATTCACCGAGGTAATTTAGGAAAATTGAAAATTAAGCTAAAGTGGACGAATATCTTTGGATGATGTTTTCTCGGAAACGGCTGCTCCAATCGAGATCAAACAAGTATTCCTTTTTGACGTAGTTTTCAATGTAGAATGTAAAAAAAAATATGGATAAGTCATTACCAAAAACACAAAAAGTTATGAATAATCAAAATTTTCAAAAAATTCCCAAGTACACCCCTGACGAAATAATTTCTTTTTGAAGGTGTCAAAAGGTCACTATTATTGATCATATTTAACAGCCAAAATTTGGTTCTTTTATTTGTTTCCATTTTTAAGAAAATTCAAAAAATCAAAATAAAAAAAATGATTTCGAGAGGCTGTTGCTCGCTTAGGGGGCACTTTAGGACATAGGTCTATAGGAACTTTTTTTCCATTTTTTGGTTAAGGAATCTGCCTGAGAATTTTGGGACACATTTTAAAGGACACCCTGTATATTATTGTAAGCAGTTGTGTATATTAAATACAATACGTTTTGTGTATTAGAGTCCCTTTATTTTCACAAACGGAAGATTATTATTCTGTCTCAAAAATACGCTTGTATTCCACTTTCTTTTATTTTTAATTAACCAACGAATTCTAATTCATCTCTGAAATAAATTATAAATAAGACATTGCAATTATTGTCAAAAGAAATTGCAACAAACTTTAAAATGTTCAAAATCTAATGATTCTTAGTAAAATTTTAGTAACATTAAACATTATTTGAAATAAAAGATAAAAGTGTCCAATATAGTGTGGGGTTATATATTCTACAAAAGTTATTTATACACCTCATTCATATCAAAGTTGTTTACATACTTTTTAAAAGTTCTATTACATATAGAAATTGTGTTTTATATAGTGTTATTTCTGAAACGAGAGTGATCTAAAATTGTTTACATCTGTTTGTTATAAAAATTGGTTAGATCTCCTAATATTGTTTCACTATATGGAAATTTAACTTTACAACACAAAAAAATATGTTTTCAAAATAACAAACATAACATCGTGTCTTGAAGTAAAATTCTAAATATTCAGATGCTAAAATTTTATTTTAAAACACATTTGCACCAGAACGGTTCTGTTCAGTTACGACCCGTCTTTCGTAGTCCTATTTAGTTCTACGGATGAGCAATCTATATAACTATATACATCAATGATCTTGCTTTGGACTTCTCACTCTTCCCTTCTCGTGTTTTCGTTCCCTCCTTCTCCTTCACTTCTCCTTTCATCAAAACTTTTTTCGTTGACATATTTAACTATGTTCGTAGATATTCGTATCTACGAATGCTTCGATTTCAAAATTCAAAACTTAATAATGTATAATAATTATACAAATAACATAAAAATAATAGAAAGTTAAACAATAACATCACAGAGTAAAAGTTGTACCAGAAGCTAACAAAAATTCTAGTATTATCTTCATACAACGATTCTAGTATATGTATATAGGCAACTACATTTACAGAAACGTGTATTTCTGGTTGTATATAAAGTGTAGGCACCTATAGAAAAATTCAAATATTTCAAATTCGAGGCCGTCTCAAAAATTATATTTTAATTAAAAAATATCTTAATATCTGTATCTAATACATTTATATCATACCCTTTTACAAAATTGGATTTTTGCGTTTAGTATTTATTATTTTAATTTTATTATATAGGAATAAAAATTATAAAAATCTTTATTCTAGTAGGTATAACTCTACCTATTACGATCATAAAAACGTACCTATAAAATAATTTTCGAATTAAAGTTTTTGTGTCAACATCGGCAACTTGAAATATAAATATTAAAACAACTTTTCTAAACGAATTTAATGAATAAAATAAAAACAAATTTGGTGTTAAAGGACGTCTGATGTAATTATTTTGCTTCACCTATTTGGTACCTCTATATAAACAGTAAATGTAAATCATGTAAATGATGAACACTAGATTCGATGAAAATAATACCTACATGGATTACAATATTGAAGACGTCAAAAATATTCAAAACTAGAGATGGGCAATACTTTTATTTTTTATTTGTTCGATACGGTCCATATGAACAATGCAAAATATACATTTTCCGCACGCAAAAATAGAAGATAAAAATATTGTGTTCTATCATTCTCCACTTGATGAAATTGCTTTTTTTGTAAATGAGGATTTTCCGTCATTGGTAAAATTAGCTATTGTTTCCGAAAATTATTATGTATTATCATCATTTTACACCTATTTTTGATTGCGAAAACCGCGTCTATGCGTAGGAATTTTCAGGAAATGTGTGAATATTTTTGATTAACAGGACTGCTTGCAGTTCTTACAAAGTTTTGATATTTTTCATTTCACAGAAAGGAAAATTTGTTAAATTTCATTTCAACGAATTTCTTACATTTTCTTTCAAATTATCCGTTATTGTTATTCTTCCTGGTATAGAACTTAGAAAGTCACTCTCAATCCAAACAAAACATAAACAATCTCCTGTATTCATCCTGACTACACTAGACATTAAGATCCTGATGAAATCCATCTTACCTGGGGATAAAGACTCTAGTTCCTTCGAACTTCTTAGGATGAGTGCAATTCAATTCACTTTCTTTCTCAACTGGGCAATCGACGTTCAAAACAACCTTAACAGAGTTAGAAGATGAGTAATTTTTAGAGGAGCCCTCGAATCGAGAGATATGTCTCCCAAATACTCTTCCATTCGACACATATATAGGTACTTCAGTTTAAATATGGAATATTTAGCACACTTCCACTTCCAGATCATTCCACATTATCTCTACCAAACTTCGAACCCTGAGAAAAATTAATTACCAATATAGATACCAATATATATATAGATACGATACCAATATAGATACGATACCAATATAGATACCAATATAGATACCAATATAGATACCAATATAGATACCAATATAGATACCAATATAGATACCAATATAGATACCAATATAGATACCAATATAGATACCAATATAGATACCAATATAGATACCAATATAGATACCAATATAGATACCAATATAGATACCAATATAGATACCAATATAGATACCAATATAGATACCAATATAGATACCAATATAGATACCAATATAGATACCAATATAGATACCAATATAGATACCAATATAGATACCAATATAGATACCAATATAGATACCAATATAGATACCAATATAGATACCAATATAGATACCAATATAGATACCAATATAGATACCAATATAGATACCAATATAGATACCAATATAGATACCAATATAGATACCAATATAGATACCAATATAGATACCAATATAGATACCAATATAGATACCAATATAGAACCAATATAGATACCAATATAGATACCAATATAGATACCAATATAGATACCAATATAGATACCAATATAGATACCAATATAGATAACAATATAGATACCAATATAGATACCAATATAGATACCAATATAGATACCAATATAGATACCAATATAGATACCAATATAGATACCAATATAGATACCAATATAGATACCAATATAGATACCAATATAGAACCAATATAGATACCAATATAGATACCAATATAGATACCAATATAGATACCAATATAGATACCAATATAGATACCAATATAGATACCAATATAGATACCAATATATATACCAATATAGATACCAATATAGATACCAATATAGATACCCCCTAACAGACTAATTTAAAATACTATAGCACACAATTAACCTTAAAAAACACAAAGTTGTAAATACTTAGTTGTGACTAGAGGTTTTCTGATCTTAATTAATAGATTTGGCAACTCTTGAATAGGAATAAAGTTGCCGCATGAAAGCTCTCAATCTCAGTTAGATAGATATAATTGTAAAATATAGGCTAACATAGGAAAATAAAACTAATTAAACACTGTAGAAATAGAAAAAGCAAAAATAAAGAAAATTCGCGGCAAATATCTCTTTCACATATGTGGTAATTAGGGGAAATGTAAAAGTACGATTTAGCGATTTTTATCTCACATTTACTGCATGCGAGGTATTTTGTGCAAAATGGGGTATTTTGTGCAAAATGGTGTATTTTGGCCTTACACTTTCTTGCACTTGTTTTCACATCTAATTTATTACTTAATTCATATTTAATGGCCCACATTGCTAACCCATTAAGACGATTAAGTAGACGTTGTTATTGGATCATTTTTCAATATTTTTAATTTAGAAAAACTTCTTACATCGGTAGCAACGGTTATAAGCAGCGTTACCAAAATTCTTAAAACAATGCTCAAATTTGAGGAATATTTTAAAGGCAGCAATGAATTTCAGAATGTCAAATGGACTTTCTTTCTTCGTTAAAAGTAAAGAAACGATAACCTGTATATTCCTGTTACATTCGAATAAGCTTGTTAAATTTTTTTAAAGCCTGTCGATTCATGTTGTATTTGATTTTATTACTCACTTATTTTCTAGATTCAAATCATCGAATTATATTTTGTGGGTCGGGTTTATTATTTTTGATTATTTTTTCATATGTACTGTGTTATGTGTGGGGTATTAATACACTGCGACCCAAAAGATTGTGCCCCCTTCTGTCGATAATGCAGCAAAGGAATAGTTTCGATGTCTATTCCGACCGACCCTTCCAATCCTATCTCTTTAAGAAAATGTAGGATTTGGAGTGGCCCCAATTTGGGCAGATCGCCCTCTTCTAATTAGTATGCTTCTAAGTATAGTACCCTTCGATTCTGGAGTGCTGCACATTTAATCAAAATGTCAATGGATATTTATTCGTCCTCCTAATAGAATCTTCACTCACTATCTTCTATTAGTCCCAGTTTACTAAGGTGTCCTTTGAGTCGACAATGCATAGCCTGTTCTTGCTCAGATACAGGCTTTCGATATTTTCTGGTTATACTCACCCAGAAGTATTTTAACCTATCTTAGATCCAATAGATCATTCCAATTGTCAGTTCTTCACTCTTCTACTGCCTATTTTTTTTTAATTATCTCCTAATATTGTGTTACTGGTGATACCGCAAAGCGACTCAGGTCCCACAAAAGGTGTCTGGGTAACTGTATTTTCCTCTTCTAGCTCTTTCAATTTGTCTAGGAGTCTCCAGACCATTTTTGAGACGATTACGCAATAAGAACTAAGCGCTTTGATGGCTACTTTGTCTATGGGACATGATGATAATCTATTATTTGCGATAGTTGTTCAGTTGTTACAACTATATTCTTTATTACATTCAAGTACAGTTCATATTAAGATATGAATTGATTTTTGGGGCTTAACTGAAAAATAGCAACTAATGCTTTCATACAAAAAAATTATTAGAATTTCGTTGAATAAAAGGAATTTCAAAGCGTGATACCTGCAAGCTCTTAGGTATTTAAAATATGAACAGTCTACTCTTATTATACCTATCAGTGGGGTCTATTCTGTAACAATTCCTTTATATTTAACGGCCTCTAAAAATATTGGCGGCCTATAAAAATATGTTCGTATTCGTTAATTTACTTCTGTCATTATTTAATCAGGTTTCTTTAAGATAGTCCTCTAATGTATTTTAAAGATCCGTTTAAATAATGACAGAAGTAAAGAAGAAAATATTTTTAAAGGCCGTTAAATATAAAGGAATTGTTACAGAATAGACCCCAATATCAGTTATCTTTGCAGCTTGTTACAAATAGCGAATATAGGTTTGTTGACAGAATATTATTTTCACAATACAAATAAATATAAATATTTCTGTTATAAAATGGTCATATTTTATTTTACATAGTCAATTTAACTTGTATTTGTGTTTTGTTTAACATCGAATACTAATATTTTCTATAAACTGCTTTGCGTCATTATGAAATAAAAAAGTTATTACCCATCAATTTTTTTCTCAGTCCATTTGTAGTTTTTGTCCAAATGAAAGAATGTTATTTAACCATTGTGACGTACAAGACCTGGGCTATTGATAACAAGTGCCACAAAGTGGTTTTTTTATGCAATTGTTCCAAATTTTGGTAGTACTATTCATTATAACAGATTATTCCAACAATAAAATAAAAAATAAGTGTGTTGGACCTCGTTACATATTATAAATCCGCTTGAATAATAAAAAACAAGTATAGAAAATATTTTATAACAAAATCAAAAATTGCATGGTTTGCTACTCTAGTTAATTTAAAAAATGTGACATGAGAATGTATATTATGGTCCGTTTACATTGGCCTGCCGTATTGCAATTCAGAGGTGCAATAACAGTCGAGTTGTTAATCCATCGGGACATTTTTGAACACTCATACGACAATAAAATTAATGCATTATTTTGGATTTTACGTAAGTTGGCGGCATATGAAAAACTATTTTATTATTAATATTAGGAAAAAAAGTTATCGTATACGAGGTTTATAAAAAATAAAGGTACTTTACTCTCTAGCACAAATCATATTTTTTGACAAACCTCGTATACGGCTTAAAAAAAAATTGATATCTGATGGTTTCATTTTAAGTTTTGGACCTTGCAGACTTTTTATCTGGAATAAATTTTTTCACAAAACCAATAATAAAAAGTTTTCCATATGGTTCCAACTTAGTTAGACATACATATTGTATAAATATGTTCATATAAATATCTTGAACTGTAGCAATTTTATTTTACTTACTTTTTATAACAGTAGAATATATGTAGATTATGAATGTATTAAAATTTAAAAGCTATAAATACCTACACCACAAACAAGCTCTAGATTTAGAAATTCTATCATTATTCACTTTATTTTATTTTTATTATTTAATTTTACTACTGTATTACCGTTTATTATTATGGAAAATAAACATATTATTAATATTATTACAGTGCAGTCGACAGCAATCGCACACTGCGGTCCGTCTATTTCCGCCCTTAGTAGTTTATGAGTCTACCGCAGGGATTTAAACTATTATTACTTGAATTATCAACATCAAGATATCAAATACCTGGCGAGGCAACAAGCCATCTAAGATTTCAGTTAGAATAAATATAGTGTCCAGAAACGCTCTTCAAAGAATGAAACCACGAAATCTAGAGCTGATTTTATGACGATTTAGCCTAAATTACTTTAATCCAAAAATGCTTCCTAAGGGAGCTAGAGCACTTTGAAGATAGCGCTCTAAAATCGGTTTAATTGAAATACCTTCAAAACGGATTTTTAATAAATGATATTATTCTGTACATTTATTTATTTGAATCTAAGCAATCAAATTTCGTAAATAAGATTTTTTAATGAAAGCGGTTCGTTTGGGTGGGCTATTGGATATTTTTATTAATTTTTTTTTGTCTTTCGAAAAGTCGCTTTAGTAATTTTCACACAAAAATGGTGCTCTTATCTGAAGTCTCCATGACCAACCGTTTTCGAGAAAAATCGACTTAAACTTTTCATGTCTGTACATACGTTTGATTAAAAAATAAATTTCAAAATTATGTTAAGGTGGCCATGGAAAATAAAGAAAATACCTAAGAATTGTATAAATACATATTAAACTGTTTTTACCCAAACTTTAGGTAGGTACTCAAAAAAATGTTTTCAATTAATGCTATTCTGAAGTAAAAAAATTAATTCCTGTAAAAATTAGTTTCTCTTGATACAATTTGTTTAAAAAATAATAATAACGAAATGATAACTGAAAGTATTAAACACAAAATTAAATCTAAAGCAGATGCTCCACATGACGGCCATCAGTTTCTATGCACAAATTTATTCGTTTCCGTAAAGATCGCCGAATTCTTGCAAAAATTCCCATATTATTTTCAAATTTGTTGCAAGGCATTCTGAATTCTTCTCCAAAGGTGATTCCGTGATTCAATTGTTTGCGAATAAACACGGAAAAAATGTGACTAGAAAATTTTACTACAATTTATAGTTAAAAACTATTCATTATTGTAGCAATTGAATTGTCGAATATAATGCTACAACAATAGGAAAGAAGTCCACAATGTTTAGTATATTTTACTATTGTTTGTAGAAGTAGAAATTTATTACAATTATCGTAATTACTACTACTAACTTCTGTAAAAATTTGTACAAATATTATTAATTATCTCTACAAAAAATAGTAATTTTCTCTACAAAAAATAGTAATACTTTACATCCCTTCTTATGAAAAAAATTCAATTTTGTTCAAAAATATTCTATAATATTGTAGAAATACTAAGTCATGTGAATAAAACAGAATTCTGCTATTGGCCAACGTTTTCTGACGTTGATCATAAATGGCCAGACAGCAGTAGCCGTTCGCCATGTTCACAAAACAAAGCATGGTACATATACGAGTACCTATTAACACATTATTATATTATAAGCACCGATGCGTTT